GTTTCTAACTCTACCAAAATCTTTTCATCTACCCGAGCATCTATGTATGGCTCCGAATTAGCAGTGTCCTAATGCTCTCAGCAGAACGAGACCTTTGCTCCAAATGCGCGTTGAAGCGAACGAGAGATCGCTTGAGCAGTCATTCACTCTCGCAGTTGTGGCCTCTTGACTGATTGAGTAACCGATACTGCTCTCGATGAAGTTTTGCCGACCTCGAGTAGCTTTTTGAGCAGCGAGCAACTCATTATGGGCAGTTTGTCATATGCATATGGCGTGTCTGGCAATTTCAGGCCCTAGAAATGCGTGAAAGGGGGCGAGATTTCCAGAGATTCCCAGAAGTACATAAAATGACGCTATCAAAATGTCATAACAATTCCTACAAAATCTCGAAAAAGAATTTCTTTTCAGAGCGGTGAAAGTATTGGCGACTCGGATAAGTATAAAGTTCACGATGGTCTACTGGTAATCGAATCCTTGTCCGAACATGACAGCGGCGAGTACAAATGCATAGCTTCTAATGCAGTTGGGAACGCGACACAAACAGCTCAACTGAAAGTTCTCCGTAAGTTATAAATACTGATGAGACCTTGGAAATTGAAACAGAAAAAATAATTTTACAGTGAAACCCCGAGTGGAGAAACTCTTAGATCTAACCAAAAAAGAGAGCGAGAGCGTAGAAATCGTCTGCAAATATAGTGGAGATGGTATTAGTAATGCTAAATTCGTATTTGGCTCAGAAGAATATTCGGTAGGTTCATCGCTTAATTCTTCTTTACCCTTTATTCAATGAAAAATTCATTAGTTGATTTTTTAGGTTGTTGACGACGAGGAACAAAGCAAAGAGCTGACGCCTTCTGATAAATCTGGTACTGGAGGTGAAGATGAAGATGGAGAAGAGGAAAACGATGAGGAAGCGAAAGTTGAAGCCGAGAATGACGAAAAAGATAACGAGAATGCCGACAAAGACGAGGATGAAGATGACGAAGAGGATGAAGAAGTTGAAGAGAAGGAAAATGCTCGAATCAAACGGGT